TCCCCTCCCTGGGACAGGAGAGCCCCCTCCGGCCCAGGCGGGCCACCGGCTCCTTCCACCACCTCCACTCCAGGTGGGAGGTCGAGGCCAGGGGAGGGGAGGTCTGCATCGGCTGACACTGACCCCATCTCTCAGCTTTCAGCTCCCCAGGGAGCGAAGTGGAAGCTCTGGGCCTAGAAGTGGTTCTCTTGATTTCCTCTGGGCCTGGCAATGACCCGTGGTGGCAAACTTCTCACAGCTCTTTTTGCTTTCCCAACCTGTCCCCTTCCCTTCACCCCCCCCACCCCTCTCCCGCCCGCCGCCCCACAACTAAAGTGCATTTTCTTTGGAGAATTTTTCAAAACTCTTTGAAATAATTGGGAACCTCTGGTCTTGCCAAACCTCAGTGGGAAATCATGGTATTAGGGCTGTGACCCAGGAGAAAAAGGACAGGAAATGAAGTTAGAGAAAGGAAATGGTCAGTCCCGCCCCCCACTGCTCCCAACACCTCCCTATCCCCCCAAACCCCCCACGTGAATGGGGAAGCAGGGACCAACACACACACACACACACACACACACACACACACACACACGCTGTCACCTTCCTCTCAGCCTCCCACACAGAGGCACCTGATGACAATTCCCGAGTTTGCCACTGATGCCACGACCAGTGCCCAACACACAGTGGACCCCCAGTTAACTGTCATTTGAAGGTGAACAGGGGAAGATGTGACTACATTAACTGGATTTGTGCCACAGCAAATAAAACAGGGAACATGCCCTGTAAAGATGAAACCCCATCGGCTTTGAGAGCCTGCTCTGGAATTTGGCCACTTAACCTGGTGTGGTGGCTGCATGGCAACCGAACACGTGCTGAGCACAGGGGGCGGACAGGGGCCTGGCCATGCATGGAGGACCCAGACAAGTAGCTGTGACTCACTTTCCCTGCCCTGCAGATAAAGGGATTTGAAATATTCACTGCTTTTGCAATAGTGATGATTACACAGAAAATCTCATCTCTAGGCGACTCTGAGTTCCTTAAAAAGGAAAATAAGAAACTTTCTGAGAAAAGTGTTGTGTGGTAGTTTGGGCAAAAGCCGACTTCCTAGTGGAGAGATTTGGCTGCAGGCTTCCTGGCAGGGACCACTCCTGAGAAGCCTCTAATGACCCCATCTCCTGCCCCCATGTTACCTGGTGTGTTGTAGGGTCACTGGAACCTGCTGCTTTCCATGTGTTTGTGACAGAAATAACCCTTCCAGTCACTCACCACGAGCCTGACTTTCGCAGTAAGGAAATACCGCAGACTGTCCCAATCGGGAAGGCACTGCGCCTGCAGTCCCTGGGGGGTGCCCACTTGCTGAGCTAGACCCCAGACATCTCCCTTAAAAGAAGAAGCGAAAACAAGACAAACCCCTGGGTTCCCGAAAGGGTTATTCTGCCTTAGCCCGCCTATAAAAATGCTATTGGCTGTTACCTGGCTTGGCCAAAGTACAGCCAGAATGTCTTCTCTCGCCATTCAGTGCATTTGTCATTTTGGCTGAAAGGAAATAAGCAGAACTCTGCGCTTCCAGAGCAAAGATGGAGCAACAGGACGCAGTCAGGAGGGAAGGGGTAAGTTTGCTGTCGAGACAGCAAGCAGCAGCCCCATGGCAGGGCCTGTTCGGCGTTGCTGGGGATGCTCTTCGGAGCTCTGTGCACGGCAAGGACCACTGGGGCACCTGCCCCTCAGAGCTCACCCAGCAGCTGGACTTTTACAGGGACTAGAGAGAGGAGCCATTTAGACACATTGAGATTTAGAGGTTCTTTGGGCTGGAACCGAAATGATGAGACTCAAAGGATGTTTGTCACAACTTCCCTCACCGTCAGAACTTGAGGTGAAGGGCTTCGGAAACCAGCAACAAAATCCTTACACATGGCTTGTGAGAGTTTTTTGATTTGTTTTGATTTTCGCTTCAGGGCATTTTCACTAACCTTTTCAGCAGGTGAAGAGCTAAGCCAGCACGAAAAGAAGATAGAAAAGATGTTGCAGGATTTGAATTGAACTCAGATCTGTAGCAGAGGTTCCCTCCCTTTTAGATAATCAGAATCCTTTTCTTTTAGAGACGAAAGAATTTTCTGAACCTCTTCCCACCCACCCTTGGCCTCCATATAATTGCCGTTGTACTTTTAGAGTCTTTTTTTTTAATAAATTTTTTTATAAAATTTGGCTTTTTTTTTTTAGGGTTTTTTTTTTTAAAAAATTTTTTTTATTTTTTTTTTTTTTTTTTTTTTTTTTGCTGCACTGGGTCTTCATTGCTGCGCACGGGCTTTCTCTAGTTGCGGCCAGTGGGGTCTACTCTTCGTTGCGGTGCACGGGCTTCTCATTGTGGTGTCTTCTCTTGTTGCAGAGCACGGGCTCTAGGCGCGCGGGCTTCAGTAGTTGCAGCATGCAGGCTCAGTAGTTGTGGAGCACGGGCTTAGTTGCTCTGCGGCATGTGGGATCTTCCCAGACCAGGGTTCGAACCCGTGTCCCCTGCATTGGCAGGCGGATTCTTAACCACTGCGCCACCAGGGAAGTCCTAGAGTCTTTTGATTGAGGAAAATGCATAAGGACAGAAAGGTAACATAAATTTATTAACACTTTTAAGAAATTTGCATTTTATTCATCACAACAGCTGCTGCTTATATTGATGGGGGAGGTACTTATTTGTGCAAATTATTATTTATTCAGTCGTGGACAGGAGAGCCTTGCCATAGACAGGTTGGGTCCATGCTCTGTAGCTCACAGATTAAGGACAGGTCTGGGATTCATTCCTGCTCCATCCTATTCTA